CATAACTCCCTAAGACCGGTAAGATCGCACAGGATGGGCCTTCTCCGGGTGCCATCAGCTGGACAATGCCGGCTGGCGACGCCTCGGGGGAGGGCCTGCTCTGTTGCCACTCCGGCCCTATGGAACGAGCTACCCCCAGAGATCCGGACCCTACCCACTCTCTTGGCCTTCCATAAAGCTATCAAAACCTGACTCTTCCGGCAGGCCTTCTGATTGGGTGTTTTTTAACTTCGTTTGTCCTATTGTTTTTAAGTTCTTTTAATTTCTTTTCATTTCTGTAAGCCGCCCAGAGTCCTTCGGGATTGAGCGGCATAGAAATCAAATAAATTCAATTCAATTCCTGCTGCTGCGCATTACCTGCTCCACTCCGAATAGTTTTCATTGATGCAAGCATCTCCCATTCATCCCGCTCTGGGTAGTAGCATTCGGCAGTGTTGTGGCGGTTCGTGCCATCATAGCCCCCCACGGCATACAGAAGGCGGTTCAGCACAGCCACGCCCACCCCAATCCGCCGTGTCAGCATAGGAGCCACTGACTGCCATTCATCACGCTCCGGCTCGTACCTGCAAGGGAAAAAAGGAGATGTTACATCAGGTACTTGTTTCTGCTGTCAATGTTGTTTGAACAAGGATGTTAATTGACAGTTGCTAATTTACTGTGCAGCGCTGGAGAAGGGAGAAAGCTGGATGAAGGATGAAACCAGGAAGGAGATGAAGCAAGATGGGATTTCCTTTAGGCCTCTCTACCATCATTTTAGAGGCTCTCCAAAATACTCCCGTCTTTTTCCCATCTGTACCATTAACTGTTCTATGCATTTTCTTCCTTTATCAACACTTGTAAGTACATGAGAAAAAAATCCAGGTGTCCCTGGTTACCTTTGCTAAAAAGGCCTCGTTCTGATATTACTACGGACAGGCTGATGGGAAAGTCAGCAGCCATCTCTCTCCCTCCACATAGGAACAGCCCAAGCTATTCAATCACGTTGTGCAGGCATTTGAGACACCCCCCTTCTCTCATAAACCAGCTTGAGCCTATTCAAGAGCCGAGGTGGCGCAGTGGTTAGGGTGCAGTACTGCAGGCCACTTCAGCTGACTGTTATCTGCAGTTCAGCGGTTCTAATCTCACCG